AACTTCCAATTCAACTAGACTTGTGTTAGTCCATAAAACTCCCAAATAATACCAATGTGTCCTAAAAATCTAATTTATTTTCACAAACGATAGAAATCGTAGGAAGTCAACTTAACAAACATGAAACTAGAACTAATCCATTTTGCTTCTGTCAATGATTGACATGCTTTACTATTTTTCTGTATTTTATATGATTTATTTTTAAAACCATTGCAATCATGTAACTTTTAGCAATTTACAATGGAAAACATAACACAGAAATACAATTATGCAATCATAACAAATATTTAAAATTACCTTAAAACTGAAGCACATAAATAACTTCTAAAATGCTATCTTCATTCATTAAAAAGGCTCTTTGCAAGAACTCCATTTTAACCTGCTTCCAGAAGGCAAACAGCCTCACCTCTGGTGATAAAAGCTATTCTACGACACAGGAGCCTTAATGGAGAAGCATCTTCTTCCAACTAAAACATATAAGGAACGGTTGCTGGAATTGGGTATGTCTAGTTTAATGAAAAGAAGGACTAGGGGTGACATGATAGCAGTATTCCAATATCTCAGGGGCTGCACAAAGAAGAGGGAGTCAAGCTATTCTCCAAAGTGCCTGAAGGCAGGACAAGAAGCAACGGATGGAAACTAGTTAAGGAGAGAAGCAACCTAGAACCAAGGAGAAACTCCCTGACAGTTAGAACAATTAACCAGTGGAACAGCCTGCCTCCAGAAGCGGTGAATGCTCCAACACTGGAGGTTTTTAAGAAGAGACTGGACAGCCATTTGTCCAAAATGGTATAGGGCAGGGGTAGGCAACCTTGGCTCTTTTATGACTCGTGGACTTCAACTCCCAGAATTCCTGAGCCAGCCATGCTGAAGGGAGAGATTTCCAAGCTGAGCCATGCTGGCTCAGGAATTCTGGGAGTTGAAGTCCACGAGTCATAAAAGAGCCAAGGTTGCCTACCCCTGGTATAGGGTTTCCTGCCTGAGCAGGGGGTTGGACTCGATGACCTCCAAGGTCCCTTCCAACTTTATTATTATCATTATTATTATTATTATTATTGTTGTTGTTGTTGTTATTACTATTACTATTATTATCATTATTATTATTGTTGTTGTTGTTGTTGTTGTTGTTGTTGTTGTTGTTGTTGTTATTATTATTATTATTATTATTATTATTAACAACTTTGGCTCTTCTGATCATTTAATAGTGGAAGACTCCCAACAGTTTTTTAATTGTTTGGATTGTACCAGACTTATTAATTCTAGTTGAAGGAGGCGGTCCTGCAGGTAGTACCAAGTCATAAAATCAAGTTTAAATTACTCTTAAAACAACTGACAGCTAATGCAGGACTCACAGCACAGATGTAATATATTCCAAGTGTCTAGCACCCATTAGCAAGTGGGTTATTGTATTTTCTGTCAACTGTAGTTTCCAAATGGTATTTAAAAACAATGCCACATAGAACATGCTGTAGTAGTTCCACCAGGTAGTGATGAATTATTGTTGCTACGTTCTTGTTTTGATTTTAATACAGATTCAGCAATACAAATTGAAATCTGCTTTAAAAAAAAATTCACAGAGGAGATGGTATGAAAAATGTACTTAATAAACATGGGCGTTGCTGAATTATTAATCAAAGGTTCCTCTCACTAGTAAAAGTAATTAATGAAAAATATCTAATTTTATGAGAGAAAAATCAAGCAAATTACCATATAGGTCTTATTAGAAGTAGTTAATGAGAACATCAATGTTATATTAGAAAAGTAAGAGGCAACAGTCTGAACAATGTATCAACAAAGCGATTTACTGATATTAAATGCACAGTAAAATAAAATATTTGAAACAAAATTATGAATTTTAAAGCTAACATTCATTTTCTGTAATGAGATTTTCTTTTAAATATAATACATGGCATATTCAAAATAAAAAGTATGACAATTCATTTAATAATTGCATATGAACAATGACTAGAATGTAATGTAATATAAAGCCACGGAATGGAATGGCATGGAGTGGAGTGGAATGGGATGGAATGGAATGCCTCTGAATCAGCCACATCTGATTTAAATACAAAAGCCTGACTTTCTGACTGCCTAGTCAAATACCATCTGCTTACACCTCTAGCTTCTCAAATGTAAGAAGAGAAAGGAACTGAAGAAAAATCCTCTCCAGCCTAAATTCAAGAACAAGTTTTTACCTCCAACCTAACCCAATTGATTGCTTTTGTTCTTTTCTACAGCATATTGCTTGTCACTGCAAAAAGTTTGCATAAGAAAATACCAAGCACATAGGGCCTTCTGAGCTTAAGAATAGAACCGTGCATACCATTTTAGTTTATAGTGGAAAAATGGTCTTTTATTCAAGCATTAACAGATCAACACTTACTTAGCTTTAGCACTACATTTCTAATGGGACAAACTGATGCCCTCTATGTCTTTTTTTTTTTCCCACTTTCCATTCTTCCTATTCTTTACCACATTGAAAGAAGAATTAGTCCAAAACATCTGGAAGGCCTCAGACCGCCCACTCCACCACCTGGGAAAGACACTCTTATTGTGAAGCTACTGAGTGCAGCTGCCCTCTGTCAATCTGCTGTTGAAACATTATTATTCTACTTGAATTCAAGAGATCAAGATTCATGACTCAGCTAAACTAGGTCTATACTGAACTGGAAAAAAAATTGTTTCAATCCTAGAATTAAAGTACATCTGACATTTAAAACAATTTATTTGCAAGCAATGAGGACAGAGATGTCAAATATGCCTTGCTTTTCTCCTTGCATTAATTACTATTTGCTGCCGCCAACTATGGTTTTCAGTACAAATTTCTTCCAACTCAGTTCACAATTTAAAGGGAATTGCATAAGCCATGCTCTAAAAATATCTACTTCCTCTCTGATACACCCTCCAAAATCATAGTGGGTAAAATTTAGCTCTAGGATAGCTTTCTTTAGCAAGGCTAAATAAAAATAAGAATTACAAGTTACCATTTTGCAAAGTCTGTGCCCGCGACTCCTTTCCCAAGTTGACATGAAATCCTCCAACAGTTTGAGTTTTTCCTGCTGCTACAAGAAAAAGAAAAGAAAAAGCTGTCAAATATAACATATTAATGGCAACATTTCAGTACATCTTGCCCAGACTCTCTTTTGCTAAGTATTTCAACCTAACAAACATCAATAGTCCTAGACTCTGAGGCTCCTCTTATGTGATTATGAATCTCAAGCTGCTGCTGTTTTCTTTTTCTTTTGGCATCTCTATCAGCCTCTAAAGTTCAAGTTCTCAATATATTTTTTGTAAATAAGCTGCATATATTATTCATATATAATATGTGTACATAGGCAGCTCAAAAACAATTTCAAAGATTCATATTAGAGTTCTCAAAAGCATACTATGCACTAATTACTATAATGTTTAAGGGTTTAACACCCTTCCAAAATGTAACCAACCCTGTTCTGTACTCCCATATGACCTTAATCCTTCTCTTCTCTCAATAACCTCTGATTTTGCTTTTATCAACCTTACTAATAGATCAGATTTATCAAGTCCAGCATTCCTATTTCTTGCACTGACCAATCAGGTATCTCTGGAAATCCAATAAGTGACATATGAAAGCTATATATATGCTTCCCAACAACAGGCATCAGTAGCGTAAGGCAGGTTCCAACATAATTAAGAGAAACTGATGGGCTTATCCTCTGATTTTTGATGTCATAGAAGATGTCTAGGAAATTCTCTGAAGCTAAGTATTGTACATTATCAAAGCAATGCAAATGGTCTACATTGTTGTTTGATATTAATACATCCCTTTCTAATCTTAAACTAATACCAATGTCTTATTTTCATCACCATGAAAAGCATGAACTCTTTTTGGATAATAGTCATGTGCAACCCTAGCTGACAATCTTTTCCTCTATCAGTAACAAGAAAGGAATAGTTCTTGCAAGGGTTTGCCTTAAAGATTTGTTACTCCTGTGATTGCATCTATAGCCCACTGTTCAGCTGAAATAATTAAGTCATCTTAGTTTGTTGACAAATCTAGATAAGAATGCAAGTCCTCCCATCCAAAGTGAACATTATAATAACTACACTACTGTCTAACTTATTTTAAGAATTGGAGATAATGTGAAGTGCTTTACAGTGTTCTGACATTGGGTTTGTTCATAAATACTAAACATTACATGAATGAGCTACATGTCTGAGGAGAGAAAAAGGCAGGGCAGTTTACATGGCTCAACTATTTTTTTCGTATGATACCATTAGGAAACCAGCACTGTTAGGAGCAATTATGGCAGAAATAAGAAAATAACCAATTAGCTGTGGGTAACCAATTCTCAAAAACTGGGGTCCAAAAACTACAATATTGCAATTTGAACTAACTGACACTCTTAAGCACATATATTCGTAGATGAACAAATGTTCCTGGTAACCTTTAGGTTACTTTTGATAAAAATATGTCAGGATGGGTTATTTCCCTGTTATTCCAGAGAATTTTACAATCTTCCATAGAACGTATAAGAGTATGCACAGGACTTAAAAAGATATTTTGCAAAGCACATCAGAGGAAGCAAAGTACCCCTTCTTGAAGTACTAACGCAGCCATATTCTTTCAATGCTAGTGTAGTTGCTTTCAAGGGTTATTCCAGGTCATCCATATCTATGTGAATATGCAAATATATTTTACTAATTTCTAGGCCATTTGCAATTATTCATGCAAGCTGTCAATCCAGACTTTCATCAGCATAAAAAAACAATCCTCCTGAAACTAACAGGCAATTCAGAATGTAGTTTTCATTTTATAATACTGCAATTTTTTCATCTCTTGTGTTTTTCAACCTTGGCAACTTTAAAATGTGTGGACTTCAACTTTCCCATGCTGGCTGGGAATTCTGGGAGTTGAAATCCACATGCCTTAAAGTTGCCAAGATCGAAAAACACTGTGCTAAAGGAATGCAAAGTGGAGGAGTTATACATCTTATACACTTGTTGACTCCACAGTTCATTTAAGCTGTCCTGGCTGTCAGTGTGTGTATGTATATATACTGCTCACAAAAATAAAGGGAACATTTTACCATGGAACTGAAGGGGTTTGCGTTCCCTTTATTTTTGTGAGCAGTATATATTTGAGCACCTGCCTTTTAATGGGGCTTCTTTGGACTAGAAGAGGGGTGTTATATATGTGTTGTGTGTTTACACATACACACACATAACACATATATAACACCCCCCTTCCAGTCCCAAGAAGCCCCATTAAAAGGCAGGTGCTCAAATTCTTGAGCTAATAAAATCTTTACAGTATAAAAGGGGACCAATGTAGGCCTAATTCAGAAGTCAGCATTTTCACAATCATCAAATATCTTCTTCAGGATTTCAAGTAAGCCTTCATTGTTGTTATGAAGGTTATTAGGAGATTACTCCTGAGACATGATACAAGACTGACACCTGGAGGAAACCATAAGAGGCACAGTAAGAGCACTAAATATACATTATGGATTTTCACTAGCAATATTCTTACGTACATGCTCCTCCATTTCAAGGCAAGCAACATTATACAGACCTTGGGAAAGAGTTTGAAATAATATGAATAATAAAAACAGGTACACAAAATACACTAAAGCTACATGAGAAAAGAGAAAAAGAAATGTAACCTTTCAAATCATCTTTGCTTTTATCATATCTATACACTATTTCACATTTTATTTTTTGTTAGACTTGTTAGACTTCTCACTGCTCTCATTTTTAGGAGTTAATAAATGTTATCCAGCTACAACTTTCTCCATCTTCCCCATTTGCTCTACTTTATGTATTTTAAAGTTCAATTCACACTTATTCTCTCCATATCACCAACAAATGTCTTTTGTAGTGAATTAACTTTTGTATCCATTCAACACTTAATCATGCCTAATCTGAATTTGTTTTAACTGCATATTTTAAGTATTCCATTCCAAGTTCATTAATTTTTCTCCTGAAATACTCAATTCTCATTTCCTTATAACTTATTTATTAAATTTATATGGTTACCAGTTCTAATAAGAACTTTCATATAACAAGGTGAGTAAAAGCAAACTGTACAAAAAGCCATTTTTACTTCCTTTGACAAATACTCATCCCTTGCAACAGGCATTCTTATTTCTATATTTCTATCAAAGTATTTTCATGCATTTTGCTCTTTAGTAAAATTTTGTCTATTTATTCCAAGTTTTTGCCTTGCAAATATTCAGTCCATTTTCCTAATCAAGCACATTATTAAATTAATTTTCAGATCATCATATATCCTCTTTGCATTATATAATCTGTTCAATATTTGCTACAAATCATTTGGGTTCATAGCTAATAACAAGGCATGCTCTGTTACAACAGTACACGCACATTCACGCTCCCAATCAACACACATCTGTCATCACATGGTTTTTTTATACATTTGTCCATCAACACAGTAAACAGGCAAGGAAAAATCACAGGTCAATGTTAAAAAAATTCTGTGAGCATTCCACTTATTTTCTCACATGCTTTACTTTCATCAAATGCCATTCATGCATTCAATAACCAAACTCTATTTCCATATTCGTGCAAAACTCCATTGTTCAAAGGGCGAAGAGCCCCCGTGAAGCCAGAAGCAGCACAGGCAGCCACTTGGTGTCCACTGCAACCGATGTGTCCCAGTAGCAGCAGAGCCAGCAGGTAGGGCAGGCAGAGGCCAGGACATGCTGAGGGCTTGGTTCATTGCGGCCGCAGGGACAGAGAGGGTGGGGCCGGCAGTAGTAGCATTCCCACTCCCCTCAGCCCCCATGCTCTCCACCTCCTGTACGTGAAAAAATAAGACGTCCCCTGAAAATAAGACCTAGTGCCTCTTTGGGAAGCCAAAAAAATATGAGATTGCGTCTTATTTTCAGGAAAACTGGTAGAGGAAAATCCCTTTTTGATTACAATACCTCCAGCACCTCTTAGTTACATATTGTATGTGAAATTCTTATAGGAATTACATCACTGGCATTCCTGCACTGAAGCAGGTAAAAATTCTCCAGATCTCCATAAATTTGTTGTATTGCTCTATCAAACTCATTTCAGCTGTTTACCTTAATCTGACTCCCAAACATATTTCAAGTCTAGTATTCTAAGTCTACCTCTGTTTACTTCCAATGCATGAGTAAATTTTCATGTTATATCTTTAGATTATACAAAGCAGTCATTCATTCTCAAAATTAAGCAGTTACTGGTAAACTCCATTTCTACAGAAGCACAATAACAGCATTCTTCCAATTATCCAGCATAGATGTATTTTTTGCATAAATTATTCAGTGTTGATGCCTCCTGACTCCAATCCTCTCTGGGCGACTCACAATATTAAAAAGCAACATAGAAACAACAAATTAAAATATAGCACATAGGAGCAAATTACAAAAAAATAATTAAAGAATCCATCACAATCACACCAAAAACAAACCAGAAGCATACTTGAATATTTCTCCAGGTATACCATCAACACATATAGTTGGATTTTTCAACATTCCCACAGCATTTATGACTTCATCAGCCTTTTCTTGGGCCCATGCATGTATAGCATTGATTTCAATTCTAAAATATCCTTTCTAGCATTCCCAGGTTTTATTTTTAATTGCATTTATTCTGCTGGTTCCCTTAATTCAGAACAAATTTTATCTCCACACAATGTCTCTGCATTTTCTGTCACTTTTAAACACATTCCTCATTCTCTTAAGCTACACTTTTTGCCATTTTTTTCTCTATATGCACATATTTTTCCACCAATCATTCTTACACCCATTTTCCCAATCTACAACCTCTTTTAGTTTGACCTCATAACCAATATACGAGAACACTATTAATGTATGATATCAAGCAATTTACATCGCCTTTAAAGCTAACTTTGTAAAACTGCAAGGAAGTAATTTAAATTCTGAATAAAAATGCATAATCAAAACAATAATCAGAGTCATTTTTCTGTTTCATCAGAAATATCAATTTGCTGGATTAAGCCACTGTAGAGTGTCAGATGTGGTTTGTCAAGTTTTCCAATAAACAAATATTTAGAGCAGAGATGCTATGCAGA